CCCAGATCATACCTGTATGACCCTTCACTCCAGGCTGAAATGGAAGCACCTTTCAGAAAAAAAAAAGTAGAAATACTTCATCCTGCATTACAAGTAATATTATTGGTTATTGCGGAAATACTCAAAGCTCTTATATCTGTGTGGATCGATGGTTGTCAACTGTGTGGCTGTTGTAATAATTCTAGGATTCCAAAATAACGTTCTGAAGAACATGGCCAACCCCCTGGTACGTTCGTATTGGAACATCCATCGCAATTTGAACTCTGGTTATCGGCGAGATCGAGAGGATAGTTGCCAGAACCTCCTCATCTTCTGTGCGCGAGTTTTTAGTGATGCTCCCCCATGTTTGTCGGACACATGAAACCACGTATATTAAATTGTTTTTATAATGTAGTATACAACAATCCCACAATCAGTTTTACAATTGAAATTGAACAAAACGGTACCCTTTCTTTTCTAGATATATCTATTGAAAGAATAGCATAATAATACCCTTTGTTATATTTGCAGTTTGATTCAAATCATGCATCGTGTACAAAGAAAGGTACTATAAAATGTTTATTTGATAGAGCCAAACGAATATCATCAAATGAGTGAATCCTCCATAGAGAAAAAGTTTTCCAAGAAAACATACTTTAAAGCAACGATTATCCCCAAAAATTTGTTAAGTCTAAAGTTCAAAGACTTAACTTTCCACATATACCCCTAAGAAAGCTACTAACCACAGTTAGCACACTCTGTATATTATACGTAAAAGGTTTATCCGAAAGACTGAAGGTGATTGTATAACAAACTATAAACTAATATAAATTATTGTAGTAACTCACTGTATAGAGATCCGAAAATGAAGAGAAAAAACAAACGAAGTCTTATCGTGAAGATAAATCATAATTGTCAAAAGTGTCATGTACTGAAGAAGCTCACCGTTGTGGCCTACATGAAAGAATTTCATATGCGGTTTCATTGGCCAAACCAACAGGGGGGATTATCGATTATCAGACGTTATATTTCTTAGTGAAAATGATTGGAAACAATGTACAAAATCAAGAAATGAGTGTGTAGTAGTTCTCAGGGGGGAAGAGAAAAAATACTATGCTAAGAAGATCGATAGCAATAAAAATAATTCTAAAATGATGTGGAAAACGTTAACGAATATTGTTTCTCCTAATAGAAAGACTGAATTATCTAAAGTGCGTTTCGAAGATGGGGTAGTGACAGACAAATTAATTATAGCAGAAAGGATGAATATTTATTTTATAGAAAGGGTAAATCAAGTAGTGAAGACGATTGATGACGGTGATCCAAGCTTATGTCCATTACAAGTATGTCAGAATTTATCAATGAAGCAATTTAGGACAATTAACATTAATAATCTAAGAAAAGCTATCTCAAAATTGAAATCTAATAAAAATCCAAGTGAGAATCTCTCAAAAAATATTCTAAACGATTGTTTCAATATAATTGGAGAGAAATTATTATTTTTGATGAATCATTGTTTGGTACATAGGGAATTCCCATCAAAATTAAAGTGTTCCACCATTACTCCTGTGATAAAAGTTCAAAATTCTCATCTGTATACAAATATCCGACCGATAAATGTCTTGCCCGATATCGAGAAGCTGTTCGAAGGGTTAATATACGAACAAATCATAGAATTCATTAAAGAAACCAAAATTTTGATAAAAAACTCAAGCTAGATTTAGAAAAAAATGTTCCATAGAAACAGCAATCCAAATGGTGGTGGTAGACTGGAGGAGAAGTATAAATGAGAAAGTCAAAAAACTAAAGCTGGAAATATTATTTCCACTGTTCAAAATATATCACAGGGGAGTAAATTAGGGCCGTTGCTATTTATTATTTATTTAAATTATATCTCTGACATTTTAGAACACTGCAAAATTCAAATATTTGCGGACGATACACTTATATATATATATATATAACTTGAGACGTGGTCATTGTCGTCTAGACCAGTTAGGTGAAAAATTAAAGCTTCCGCCTTTTGTTGGGTACTTCGACAAAATTTAAGCAAAGAGGACTCTTTATACTTTTTTTAATTCTCTCTAGCTTTCAATGGACTTTGCCAAATAATGAGTGAGATGAACCCTTTGACAGAAGGCCGAAGGTTGTCAATGTCTGTGTAGAAAGATGGAACGAATTGTGGGCGTATGCCAACGTTGCCAAATCACTTCAGATGATGTGATTTTCAGAATGTTATGTAAGAAATTGTTAAACCGAACAGAGGCAGTTGAATTAACTATATTTTAATTAATGGGAAATTAAATTAACAACTATTATTAAATCGTGAGAAGAAAATTATTAGAATTTGAGTGGAATGAAGTATATTGGTGGAATCGACCAAGAAACAGATTCCATTTATGGTTGAAGAGTCAAAATTTGGGGAGATATGTAAGTTCTCCAATTTTTCGCAGTTTAGCAAATATGAGTAAATGACACTCAGTTGCTTAACATCTGTCTTTTTGTTGATACAGTTGTTATTCATGAAAATGTGGGACATTTCCAGGAATAAACGTTTGGATAGGTGTTTTTCTTTATCAAGAACTTTGATACTTCATAGAGTGCCCTGTTGTGTTAACATGAGATGCTAGAGCGCATCTTTCAGGATGAAGCCTAGAATCACTTTTGTGTGATGTAATCCTTCCTTTAAGAGATTTGGAGGTCTGACCTATGTATATTTGGTTGCAATTGTTGCAATTGATAGAGTAGACTGTGTTGGTTAAGCCAAGCAGCGGGACTTTGTCTTTCATTTTTGAAAAAAGTTTATAGTGAGGACGGATTTGCAAGCAATTCGAAAGTTCAAAGGACTGCACAATCTGATCAGCTTAGGGGTCAGTTCCTTGATATAGGGCAGGACAGCAAAACCAGGTCTGAAGTCCGGGTTGGTGCTTGTACTGTTTGAATTGATGCTATTGTTGGGAATTCCATCAGTTCCGTTATTAGGGGTTGTGCGACTATTACCAGCATCATCAGAGTTCAGCAAAATATTGGAAGGTGAACTAAATAAGATCTCGTTAATCAGACACTTCGGATAACCATTATTGATGAACAGTTTTGATAGTTTACGTAAATTTGACGTGTGGAAAGTATTATCTGAGATGCTGATTACCCTTGTTTTCATCTGTTTTACCAAGTTGATTTTAATCCCTAGCTTATGGTATGACCTAAAATTGAGAAACCGACCTGAGGCTATAGGTTTCTGGTACCAGTCTACCAATAAACTATTGTTGTTGGTGCGGATGAGTATTGTGTCTAGAAAGGGGACAGACAGGTTCTCATCTTCTTTTTCAATGTTTAATTTAATTTCCCATTAATTAAAATATAGTTAATTCAACTGCCTCTGGTCGGTTTAACAATTTCTTACATAACATTCTGAAAATCACATCATCTGAAGTGATTTGGCAACGTTGGCACACGCCCACAATTCGTTCCATCTTTCTACACAGACATTGACAACCTTCGGCCTTCTGTCAAAGGGTTCATCTCACTCATTATTCCATGACCACCATTTTGTGCAATCATCAAGTGGCTTCACGATGTAATGCTTTCATGTTTTATAAGAAAATTTTTAATCTGTTTTTAACTTGTTCTTGTCACACAATTGTGTATATTTTATATAATTTTGACCATTGTACCATCTATCCAGCTTTCACCATGTTACTGGGCGTTTCCCTCATCCTATACGTAAACAACAATTAGCAACATCCTCACATACTACTGTAAGTTAAGTCAATTTCAATTCATTTTACACTATTGTTGCTACTGTTATTATTGTAATTGCAGCTCCTCATGATGATGGCAAAGTCCATTGAAAGCTAGAGAGAATTAAAAAAAGTATAAGAGTCCTCTTTGCTTAAATTTTGTCGAAGTACCCAACAAAAGGCGGAAGCTTTAATTTTTCACCTATATATATATATATATATATATATATATATATAGTACATAAGCATCTGGATACTGCTTTAGAACTGTTAAATAGTTATATTGAAAAAATTATGTATTGGTTAAATGTCAATAAACTTAAAAAGTTAAACACTAATAAAACAAAATGTATGTCTATAGGGAAACATTTAGATGAGAATACAATTAGGCTCATGATTAATGATGAAAAAATTGAAGCAGTCGAGCCAATTAAATATCTTGGTATATATAATGTGGATAGTAAGCTACTGTTTCAGCAAATGAAATCATACTTTCAAAATTACAAATTCTGCAAAATAAAGCTATGAGAATCAATTCAAATAAAAACAAATATGCTAGGATTAAGTTTATGTTAGAAGAACTGCAGTGGTTGCAGGGGCGGCTGGCCCTTAAGTTCTGCAGAGCTGCAGAACTGCCAAAACTTTTGTCTTAACAGAAAAAAGCAGTAGTAATTTGATCATTATTTATTTTCCATGTTATCACACAAATAGAAACAATACCGGCCCGCCCCCGCAAGACACTGCGTCGAGTTTGTTTTGCAGCATTATAATCGACCAATTGTGTACTTGTCATTTTCTTCGCGATCGCAGCGTAATTTTATTCATGGGCCACTTCAAAAGGGTATGTGCATTACTTCGACACACGCGCTTTCTTTGTCTCTCCCTACAACATCAAATGCGCGATTTAAGCATAAGCATGTGCTGCAATTTATGCAGATCCGTACAGATCTAATGCGAAGTACGATATCTGATTGGTCGGTCGATGCTTGGTCCTCGGTATTGGCATATTGGTCTTGTCGCGTGACGTGGCTTAAAATTTGAATGCGAACAATTTTTTATTCAGGTATTTTGGGTCTTACGTTGAGTGACTAGTGACTCACTGACTGACTGTGGCTGTGTAGAAGGGTAGTGCAAGACAATGGATGTAGTTTACAGACTTACCAGCGTGAAACGATTCTGGAAATACACATTTGAAGAAAAAATTGAGCAAAAGGTGTCAGGACGACCGTTGCTGTACATATTTATAGAAACACAGGGCGTTAGTCGGGGCAAGGGCTATACGCGGCATTTCAGCAAGGGAGATTTACACCAGAAGTGACTGGATTTGTGGGTGCAACAGGAAGAATGCCCTTTTCTGCTTTCGTTGCATACTTTTCGGGGGTGACAAAGCTTGGACGGAGGTAGGTGTTACAGATTTAGTGCACCTGAGTGAAAAAATTAAGAAGCATGAAAACTCTAAAACACATCTTCATAATTCGATGGAATTGGCTTTATCGGGGACTGTTAACATCAGAGCTCAGTTAGATTCAGCATATTGGAGAAATATACAACAGCATAATGATACTGTTACAAAAAACAGGTACGTTCTATCAAACATAATCGAATGTATAAAATTTTGCGGAGCATTTCAATTGGCACTACGGGGCCACGACGAAACCGAGAGCTCCCAAAACCCGGGAATATTTCGTGGACTGATTAATTTTTCTGCGGAGCTTGATACAACCTTAAGCGAACACATAAAAATGCTTCAATATTTAAAGGAACTTCGGAAGAAATGCAAAACGATCTACTTGATTGTATTCTTGAAGTTTGTCATGAAGAAATAATAAAACAGATTAACCTTGTAGTTGGCGATAATAGCAGATGAAACAACGGACATTTCGGGGAAAACCTAACTGGTAACAATTTTCAGATACGTATTTAACGGTGAACCAGTAGAACGTTTTTGGAATTATATGAATCCCGAAAAATGTGACGCTGATACTCTCACAAGACATATTTTGAGCGTCGTAGATCCATTAATAGGACATTCTCCTAACAAACTGATTTTACAAAGCTATGATGGAGCCGCGATAATGAGCGGACATAATGCTGGAGTACAGACAAAAATTAAACAAAGATATCCATTTGCTCACTATGTGCATTGCTATGCGCATCAGTTAAACCTGATTATGTCCCAAGCTGCTTCCGCAAATGCTCAAATTTGGGTGTTCTTTGGGAATTTGAAAGATATTCCGGGACTTTTTAATAATGCTCCTCAACGCGTAGAGGTTCACTAATGAAACCGTTTTCAAGGCAGCTTGCGGTATTCGCTGTATGTTTCAGAAGAGAAGAAACCGAGCCAGCGCAAGTTAAAACGGGTATCGATAATTTTGCAAAATATAAAGAGAGAAATAAAATTGGTGACATAATAAATGAAGCCAAAAGTATTTGCACTGAACCCCAAGGCAACAAAAGGAGACGACGTAATAATAGTAGTCACGATCACCGAGTTGCCGCATTAGAAGTATGCGACAATATAGTGAATTCTGCAAATGACAGATTTCAATTCAAAGATCATACGGTAGCCGCATCCCTTTTTTCCCCGAACACTTTGGAGAATACCGTGGTAAGTTTCCTGATGACAAGTTGGAAACTACCTGCTTGGCTTATCCCGAATTCGAAAAAAGTCGTTTGAAGACAGAATTGTCTGTTATTTATGCACGGAATGATGGCCGAGATTTACATGGCACTCTGTCTCTTGAAATTTTTGATACAAAATAGTTTGGAGGAAACACTAAAAGAAACAAAAAAGCTATTAGAAATTATTGTTACAACTGCTATGTCAACATCAGAGGCTGAGCGAAATTTCTCAACATTGAAAAGAATCAAGACTTTTCTTCCTAATGCTATGACCCATTGAAAAGGCGTTCATTTCGACCATTAAAAATTTCAACGGGAAGGTGATCGACAAATTTGCTGCCAAGAAGGAGCGTAGGATCGAACTGACATATAAAAAATAGGTAAGGTCGGATTTGCAGAACACGTTTTATTTTGCCACGAGCCGCCACTGAGTGGTTGGATGTGAAAAATTTCATATATTATTTAGTTCTCGTTTTCATATTGGAATTAAAAAATCTTTTATTATCACCACATTTAGAGAACTTCACAAAATTGAATAGTCATTATCATAACTACGAAACTAGAGGCAGTATAGATTTTATCTTCTATCTATATTTCAAAAGGGAGTATTTGAATTTAATAAATTGAATAATGATATTAAACAGAGTTCGAATTTAAAAATGCTTAAGGTGAAATTCAGAAACCACTGTATGAATAATTAAAATACATAGTGACTTAATTTTAATTTTAATTTTTAATTTTTAAATACAAGAATGTAAAATTACAGAAAATGGATTGACGAAAAATATGTAACCGAATCATTGCACGAAATTGACATTGTAGCATTAATGCTAAATAAATCTTCAACAACAACAAACAACAATTAATTATTCATTAAGATTATCTGAAGGAAAATACACACAAAAAAAGATCGCTAAAATAATGTTAGTTATTTTCAGAAAACACCAAACTTTTGGCGTAACAATCCATTTTGGAATTACTACGACCGCCTTGTTGTTTAACTGGAGGCACTTCTCATCGCCATATTTCCTCTATAATACTGACCCACAAGGTGTGAAATAAGAAAAATAGAAGAACATTAATATCCTTTGTGCAGTGAAGGGTGTCGGCAAGGGAGTGTGAATCGCAGCACTGCCACCTGGCGGGGGCAGCCTGACCTTGCTTCGGGGGTGGGTAGCACTACAATGTGTGCCTATGGGTGACCGCCCCGCCCTTATTGCTAGCCCTCGAGGACCACACGCGCGATTGCATTTCATGCACCCAGAGGCGGCGAAAGGTAAAAGATAAAAGCTGGATTCACAGGTAGGTAGCTCTTCTGGCAGGTAGGATGCTTGTAAAACCACTAGTTTGACAATTTTATTTCTAAAGGTTTTATATCCTTACCACATATAACATTACAAATGAAGTGAATTCTAGACTATCAGTAGTTTGTATCTGAAGTAACCACTTAGGCCACATTGGGTGCAGGGTGCTCCAGGTATAGGTTATCAGTCACTCCAAGCCATTCGTTATCCCAGAGACGAGAGTCCAAGCCTAAACCATGCTGATGAGTAGCCAGGAAATACGAAACAGCTGTCCATGTTTGGCGTTCTTTTAGACGGTCGGACCTGAGCATTATGTTTAGTTTATTTAATGGCAAGAAGACCACATCTACTTTACTGCCAGGATCGTCAGCCACATAGTGGCCACGCGGTGATTGGACGATTAAACGTGAGCTGAGATATTTAACAGAACATAGAGGATCATTCTAGTAAATTTATAGCCGCTAGATCAAGATTCAGCTTGTTTCTGCAATGCTTATTTTTAAGATATATCTGTGGAGTCTTTGAATCAGTAGATAGGAGAAGATAGTTCAACAAATCGTCATAGGTGTGATACGCCGGATTTTTTCTTGTTCTGAGCTTCTGGACAAACTTAAAATCCTTATATTTGCCTCCTTGCGCTTTTTTATCAATCTGGTTGATAGACTTTTTTTATTTTCCGGTATCTAGCGTGTTTTGAATCCTTTACCACCAAATTTCTTCCTGTTCACATCCCCTACATAATAATAATAGCCTTTATTTAACCTAGCCGGTGTCAACTAAAAGCTGCTTTTCATACCAACCAGGGCGTGTCACATCTCATATTATAGAGGAACTGCAGCTTGTGTACAGTCGCTAGTAGTATCTAGAAGCAGTTGTCGGGACACATATAGGCAACAAGCAGAGCACAACACAAGTGAATCTATTGCTAAGTACTGTACAAAGAGATTGATAGGATTATATTACAAATTACACTATCCTTGATTGTCATGCACTAAGTATTGACTAACGTCTTCTTCCTGAAGGTAGTCAACCATATACTATATTTTGGCATCCAAAAACGGATCTGAAAGATACTTATGCCATTTTAGAGACAGTATACGGTTGGATATCTTAAGATAGAATTTATTAATCAGTGCCCTAAAAGACAGAAGGGCTACCTACCTGATAAAGCAAGATTAAGACAGAAAATGAAATTTATTAAGACTTTGGGAAAGGACTCCGTCTAAAAACTTTCAGCTAACAAAAGATTGATACAGTAGCATAAAAGTAATACATCACTTCATGAATGGATGTTAATTAACATGGTACTTACATTATACAAACATGACCTGGAATGGGGAATTTCTTCATTTAATCTTGAGTCCAACGTATAGTGGCCCTACGCCACTGGAATTGATGAGTACCTCTTAGCTATTAATACTCGTACAATCTTTCATACTTCGATGCCGCATTCCCAGCCATCTAGATACGTTATTACCCTCTCTGCCTACCAAAACTGCTCTCAACTATACTGGTCCACCGCATTTCACGTCCAAGATGATGATTAACATTTTCAAGAAGAACCGCCGCTGACCAAATTGAGCTGTTACCTCTCTCTAATGAAATGTGGCGTAAAATAATGCCATGGGTAAATCTCACCCAAAGTGGAAGATCGTAATTGAGACAATGGGTGATGGATGCCGGGTTTGGTTTCAGCTTTAAGGAACATGTAAAAAATAGGTAGAATAGGTGTGAAGTTCCCAAGCGAGCGACAATGTGCGCCTTTTCGCAGTGGATATAGTGAGCTAAGGCTTTGGAAATGTTCGTATAGTAGATCTTGATGTTAAAACATTTGATGCCATCTATTACGTCCTGGTCATATTCTTTTGCTGGTATTCACCGTTGACTCATATATAACGTACCAATTACTTTTCGAGTCACAGCTTTGGATTATGTATATGAATTAGTACTGACAATTCCCGGCAGGGTATTACGTATTTTGGAAAGTTGCATGAGTTCTTAGCGAGGATTTGTGTGCTAATAAGATGTGTTGATGATAATTGCAGTGGTTTATGCTGGAAATTACAAATTCAACTTTGCTGAATTTCAAAAATGAGAGACAAGTAAAGAAAATCTTGGACTAGTGAACGTATTCTACAGATAACAGGTGAGAAAATAGACTACAGAAATTAATATTTACGAAACGTGTCAAGTATAAAATACAAATCAGCGACCAGATGTGAGCCACCACGAAAATGCTTTGTGTGAGATGAGTCATTCATAATTTTGATTTGTGATGTGGCTTAATTAGCAAGCAAGTTAATTTTAGGTCCTCCAACTTTTTGTCGGGGACACCGAAGAGCCACAAATTAGGACGATCACGCTAAAAGCGGAGTGAAGTTGATACACGAAATAATAGCTAAAGTTTTAACGATTTTTCATTGTTGATGCTTCTTCGCTGGTATGTTGAAATAAACTTATTTGAAGTTCATTTAATACCTATGTGAAAACAGTCAGAATACCCTTTTGGAGGAAAATGTTGATATGTCGTCAACATAAATTGCTGGTTGGTGTTGAACGTTATGTGGTAGGGACGCTGCCTAAGAAGCAGATTCTATAAAAGTCTCAGCGTGTCAGTATTGCCCAAGCATTTTCACGGCATTTAAAAACGCAAAACACGTTGTTCCAGAGCACACTGTAAACTTTTAATTACAACATAGATTTCTTTTATTCCTTCTTGCATCATTCATACTTCTATGTATTTTAGATTCCTGAACTGTCATATTAACATGGTTAGTGAATCTTAAAAACATCTTCTGAAGTAACTAATTTTTCCGAAAATTTGAGATGGCCATAAGAACTCTAAATGTTTCTTAGAATAATTTTTGATTACCAGTTTTAATGGAAAAAACGACTAATGAAAGCCTTTCCATTTTTTTTTTCTGATTGTCTAGAGGTCTGATATTGAATCCGTCTCTGCGCTGGTGTGAGTAACAAAACTGTAGTTGGATGAATGAATCAAAATCGATGGGCACGAAATCTGGCCGATAGCGTGGCCGTATACCCATTTCAAGCGCGTCAGAAACCAGAAAGGTTCTGGGATTGTTTTACGCTGGCAATGATTAAATTAGGGCTGCCACACAGCATGCCGTGAAGAATCGGGAATGTATGCCGCAGGCACAGGGGCGGACTGGATATGAACTGCATTCAGAAATAGATTGAACATTCTTGGTAGCTTTTCGGAATGCCCGCCGAACAACAAGTTTAATGTAACTCTTTTGTTTGAATGATCACAGGATTCAAAGACCACTGAGATGGTCGAAACGTCATACAATAAACATAAATCTAAACATATATGCGGTTTTTATTTGGCCAGACAATGGAGTTCAACATCAGGCTTGTCCTCACAAGTTAGCGATGTAGTACTAAAATGAACAGAGCATGCTCGGATCGAATAGAAGTTAGAACTGGTTCAGAAACTAGCAATTCTCTGTTCCAACAAATTTCGTACCGATTCGTAACTGGTTCTAAACTGGTCCGAACAGTCTTAGTTCTGAGAGATAAGTAAAAGATCGAGTTTGCTAGCCCATACGCGTGTTCAGAAAAGATGACATCGATTAGTTGTTACTGGTCATACCTATTTTTTGATATCCACAAACCAGTTGTTCTACCGTTTATTGCACACAATTGAAGAATAAGCGCC